CCTGGCCCAGGGTGGTAGCATCTGTTAGGGTCCTAGCTATGGGCAAATAAATAGTTCACTCTTAAACTGGGGTTAAAACACTATGAAAGTGTAAAAATAGGTTTTAATAGCGGAAATGCTTTGTACAAATTATTACTAGCAATACATTCTTACCAGCAATACATTTTTGAAAAAAAAGAATTACCAGCCATACATTATTGTCACCAGCGATACAGTTTTTAACAACCATACATTTTTTACCAGCTATACATTTTTTACCGGTTATACATTTTTGTTACCAGCGATACAGTTTTTAACAGCCATACATTTTTACTAGCTATACATTTTTTACCAGCCATACATTTTTGTTACCAGCGATACAGTTTTTAACAGCTCTACATTTTTACCAGCTATACATTTTAAAAAAAAATATTACCAACGATACATTGTGAAGGAAAAAATGTTACCAGTAATACATTTTTGAAAAAAAAAATATTACCAGCAATAAAAATTGTCGGCATTAAATAACGCATTGAGGTTGATATGCCATAAAGCAAACCAAACCAAAATTGTTTCGACCATTTTATAATATTTTCGTTTTGTTCTTTCAGATATCCAAACTTCCATTCTTTCTTTCTTTCTTTTAAGTTGAAACTTCTTTCTCCTTCTTTATATCGACCTCCCTTAAAAATACACATACGTATAGAAAAAAATAATGCCATATATTCGAATATAACACATTAATATAAAATGTTTTACTCTTATAGGCACCAACCATTTTGACGGGTATAAATGTCTATTAATAAACTCGCACATACGCACACATAGATATCGGTTATTTCTAGAGAAACGCAGATAATCGCATATCTTTTATCATATTACCACGCATCACACACATGAGCGCACTTCTTACCCGAATTCACTAATGTTGACATTTATAGTCTTTGATATTATAAATTGAACTGATCACTACGAGAAATAAATACTAAAACTTGATTTTGTTTTCGATGTGTTGCTCTTAGCGAAAGGATTGCACACATTATATTTATATCAAGTTTACAAACTAACATCTTGCAATATCGAATTACCAAAGCGAAAATACAATCGCATTTACAACAAAGCACGTTCTTACTGCTTTGTGCCTGAACAGCCTCAAGTGGATTGCAACGCTTCTTTAGATATAATTTATCCGTTAATTACCAAATGTTTAGTGACATTTAAGAGCCACTGTGCCGTTTTTTCAAACAAGGAAAATATCGGGTATAAAATCCTCAAATAAATCAAAGAAGGAGACTGGCGAAAATGAATTAAAGATTTCATGATTGGCTAAAATGTCCGACGTATTCTCGCGGGTTTTTATATGTTAATGCGAGATCTTGCTTGTTCGGGAAGTAAGAGGTTCAAACATGGTTTGTTTAGACAATGAGTATCAGATTTTATTTTGACTCCTGATGGTTTTATTGAAATAGAAGGAAAATAATTTTTGATTGATAGAAATTAATTTGGTTTTATTTGTTTCATTTATTCGTGTTAACAGAATATTACTTTATTTTTGTGTATTGAGTATCGTTTCGTTGGAACAACATAAAATTGAATCAAGCGTGTGTATGTTACGGTATTATTCGATTTGCTAGGAGAAAACGGAAAATTTGGGATAAACATTGTATGAATAAAATAGGAAGATAATGAGCTACAAAAATGAGCATTGGATTCTGAAGGGAAAGAAGCAGCGAGAATTGAAGTGAAAGGTCATTAAGGAGGAAAGGGGCGAAGAAAACGCATATGAAGACGAGGCAGGATGAGAAAAAAAAATCGAACTGAAAGAAAAGCAAAGAGTTATAAAGACGAAGAAAAAGAAAATTCGAGTGAGACGAAAAGGTGGAAAAAGAAGAGAGCTATGGTCAAGAATAAAATTAAAGGTGAAAAAAGGACAAGAAGAAGAGAGGATATAAAATTAAAATAGAGAGAGAGAGAGAGAGAGGAGGAAACATAGAGGAAGTCTCAGAATGACGAAGAGAGAAAAAAGAAAGGGGAAAGAGACAAGCGAAAATGAAATAAACCCATAGGCAGAAGAAGGTGAAAAAAAATGGGGAGAAAGAGAGAGGTTGTTTAGATGGTGAAATATTTACGAAATATGATAGTGTATGATAATCAAAGAATAAATATACAGTGACAGTTTCGGTGAATCCTAGTGAGCCCAATATATATATATATATATATATATATATATAACCTAACCACGAGAAATCTTATATATATATATATATATATATATATATATATATATATAGATGGATAGATAGATAGATAGATATATCGAACCTAACCACGAGAATTCTTTTAATAGTACACTTATAAAAATAAGTCTCTTTTCTTTTAGCTTCATAAGTCCTAAGTGACTTATTCCGTCACTATCCATATATAGGATGGAGTAATGGTCTCACTCGTTAGTCAACTTGGCTATTAGTAATATGTTACTCTCATTGGGAGCTCCATACAAAACCTGAATAGTACTTACAATCACACACACACACACACGGATATATATATATATATATATATATATATATATATATATATATATATATATATATATATATAGTGTTAATTTGAAAGTGTTATTGAAGCCAAAATTGCTGGTTTTCAGTGTTTTGCTGACAAGGACATATTTAAGGCAAGCAGGCTTTCGTAGCTAGATAGATGTAACCACTCGTCAGTCTGAAGAGTGGTTACGCGTATATAGCCATGAAACTTCGAAATAAACGTGAGTTAAGTGAAAATCTCTCTCTCTCTCTTTCTCTCTCTCTCTCTCTCTCTTTATATATATATATATATATATATATATAATAATATATGTTCTGTCTAGTTAGGCAGCAAACGTTCTGTAAAGTAAATACTAGTAAAAACGACAGGATATGTGGAGACATTTGGTGAATTTCGTAAAACTAGGGAGTGTTGTAATGTAAACAAAGTGTGTTATGTCGTAAGCGATGTTTGACGTGTTTTTTTTTTAATATACATTTAAGGATATAAGCACCTAATTTGTAATTTGTTTTTTTATTCCTTGGCGGTTGATTTTGTTGTATGAGTATTGCTTCAAGTATCTTTCACACTAAAATTCACGCAAGTGAGCTCTTCAAAGTAGAGGTTGAAATGTTGAAGTGAGTATGAGGAATTGGCTGTGCGATTTAAATGAAATAGATGGTAAGAAGAGAAGATTATGCGTATAGGAAGGATAGAAAATGATTCATTCTTGACTTGAAGAGGTCAAGATTGATGTGTTCAGGAAAGCACTCACGCGTGAGTCTGTTCCACACAAAAAGGTGCCTGATTGAAACTATTTTTTGCCTTTGGAACACGGAAGAAATGAGTTAATAAACTAAATTGTCATCAAAATTGCTCTAGCTGTATTTAGGAAATTCCGTATATATTATTGTATAAGTCGACTGCATATATAGTACGAACCCTGAATTTGTTGTCCAATTTTTAACGCCACCAGAAAAATGTGTATAGTGCCATCGGTTACCGAACATGAATGATTTTTATCCTCTTTAGAAAAAATACTTGTGTATAATGTGATTCACTATTTTTGTGTTTTGGTTATAAAAACTTCTGCTCAAGTATATAGAGCAAAATACGCAAATACTGAAATATATATTGATATATATATATTGAAAGCAAATCATTTCCATCAATGCAATGGCAAGTGGCCTAATGGATAGAATGTTCGCTTTCTGACGCTAAGGTACGTGTTTCAATTTCACCTTGGTGACTTTATAATGGAAAATGACTTGGAAAGTGCTTGGAATTGATGCGGGGAGCGGGAAACTAGGAAGCCACGGAGCGGGAAACTAGGAAGCCACGGAGCGTTTCAGCATACTGGTCTTGTTAAAAAAAAAATGATCACGCCAGATTTTGCGCCCCCTTCTAGAGACTGTAACTATGGTCCACTCAGAATAGCTGCAGTAGAAGCCAAATGTGGATTCCGTGGGTTGAACATGAGTCTGTAATAGGGTGTAGCTAGCCGCCTCGTTAAACGGGTGTGCATGGAAACGACAAGTAGTCGCCCTTTATTTGATTATTTATCTTTGTTTATAGTTTATGGACTATCAAATATCTTTCTTATCACCGGTCCCACATTCGCTCGAGGACATGGCACCGGTGATAAGAAATATATTTGGTAGTCTATAAAGTATAGATAAATTTAATACAAGTAAAACACAAAGAGACGATATATACAGGGTGTCCAGAAAAGCTGAATAACAATAAATTCCGTGGTTATTAACTTGCAAAAAAAAAAAATTGATGCTGAAAATTAAGAAATATTAATGTTTATTTACTTACAAATAATAAATATTAAGCATTAAATGAAATTAAATGCATGCATATTTATAAATATTCAAACAGACGAAAAGTGAGTACATTTTAGGGACAAATTATATATATATATATATATATATATACATTGAGAATTGGACAAAGTCCGACAATTTATTAAATATTTAAATATTTAAACATAAAAATGTCTTTAATAAATATATATATATATGGCGAGAGAAAGAAAGAACTAGATAGATTTAGTTTATGTCCGAAAAACACTTGAGGCATGAAACTGACAGTCACTATGTAGAGTAGATTTGTTCATATCTAAAAACAGTCTATTTCCGATGTTGAAAAATATAGAGGCTCATTTCACTTTTCAGTCTTAGATTAGTTGCCAACCAAGGCTATAGGATCCAGTCTGTCCTGCTATTTAACTATAGCTGGGAGATGAGATTCATATCTTTTCCAACAGGTAGCTTGGCGTCAGTAAATATAACAAACTTGATTGGAATTCAAACTCGACTGTCCGTTTTCATACTCCGAAACGTTATCAATTATACCGCACATACGCAAGCACGCACACATTCAGGCTTGCAGCTTCTGATATTCCCAAGTGGTCACCCATCTCGGTATTGAAAAAGTTCGACATTGCTTAACTTCAGTGATCGGGCGAGAACCAGTGATACAACGTATTGTGG